CTCCTCACCAGGCCATGTGCTCCTTTTTTGGGTCTCTGATTAGCTCCTGCTTGAGATCTCTCACCCAAAACGTTGCAGATTGCAATTTTGGGTGAAAAGCCTTTGGCAGCTCCAGGCAGTGTGGTCCAGGGCTCTGAGAGTCCCCAGTACAATAGACACCAGGCATTGATCAGTTACCATGTCAAACACTGATCTTTGGGCCTCCTGTCATGGAGTGCTTTGGAGGGGTGGGCACAGAGAATCCATAGCATGGGCAAACGGGTGCTGCTCCCTGGCCAAGGTGGATTGTTGCTAACATTTAACCACTTACTCAGTATGAGCATCACTCAACCCCATTTCTGGGTGAAGACACTGAGGCTTAATGCCATCCAGCTGCTGGCAGAGCTGGCTGTCCAGAGCCTGTCCTCCACCTAAGGCATCTGCTACACTCTGTGTCTGTTAATAGCTCTACTGGGGCCTTTCTGGTGGTTAGAAGTTCAAAACACATTTTCATTAGGGGTTCAATACTGGTTTTTTTTTTTTTTTACCCTAAAGAATGTTTAAACTACAACAGCAACTGAACAGATAGGAAGCCTAGGGGGCAGTGAGTTTATGTTAACGGAGGATGAACAAAGAAGGGTGAGAGTGTAATCAGTAGTGCGGAATTGTACGGTAGAAACAGTTTAATGGGTGTATGTTTTGCTGTGTTTAAACCATGTAGCACAATACTCACAGTAGTCATGATTTTCTCTAGCAATAGTGAAATGGTTTGATTGTTGTAATGCAGTGGGTGATGGATACAGTGAGGTCTCTGCTTGCCTTGAGGAGACTGAATGAGTGAGGGAGGGTAGGCAAGTCCATGAGCCCCTAAGATTTCTGGGAGGAGCTGTTTCTAGACTGCAACTCTGTTCCTCTAAATGTGTTGCTGCTTGGGAAGGAGAGATGGGAATGATCTCAGCTGTGTTTGAAGGATATGTAAATTCACTTTTTTACTAGTCTTTTATTGTAATTTCCTCTAAGTTTTTTGAGATACAGAAACTCAGTTCTTCATCTGGCTCTGAAATTCCTTAACCAGCTTTTAGGGATTTGGAAACTACTGGAGATAAGGTCAGTTGGGAATTTTGGAGGTGGTGGATGTTAGGAGGTGTAAAAAGGAGGAAGAATTGGTTTTGCTTTCTGAAGACCCTGGACATCTCCAAGGTTCTGCAAAGCCATTTGCAGCTTTTGCAAACAGCCTTAAAGTCATCAGCGCCCCACTGCGGAATTCAAAGCTAAACTTGTCACAATTGTTAACACCTTCCTTGACCGGCCTTTTTATATTTCACAATTATTCTCTCCTGCGCCTTTTCCTTGTCCGCAGGGAAGTTCTGCAGTCTTGGTTTTAGCTAGTGCCCTATATACACGAACAGCCCCCCTCGTGGGCAGAAGTCGGGGGAAGATTTCCATCGACTTGCCGGATTTGCAGGGTGAGTAGGTTTCGAGGCTTAGAAAGCGGGGAGCGGACAATTTGAAAGTGCCTACTGACGATCTTGAAAGTTCAGAGCTTCAGGTTTTTGGTTGGGCATATGACCCCCACCTCCCCTATCCTGGGCAGCTGGGGAACGTGGAGCGGCTCTGCTTTCGGCCCTGTTGGGGAAACTTAGTTTCTGGGAGGGCTCAGAGCGAAGGAGCTGAGTGTCTGGGACCCGAAGGAGACTCATCCACGCGGGGCCCGGCGCCTCCGCCGATCGCAGGCTGCAGGGCGCTCCCTCTGACCCAACCGGGAAGTGGGTGCTTCCTCGCGGCCCTCGGGGGAGCCCTCCCACTCTTCCCAACTTTCCCGGCCCTAAGGCCGGAGGAGGGCGCCTTTCCCGGCAGGGACATGCTTGGTACTTAAAGGAGGCTCGGCGGGGCCAGCGCTCGTCAGTCCGAGCGGAGCGCGAGGCGGCAGCGGCGGTGCACGGTTCAGGGAGGCGCCGCGGCGAGGGAACGGGAGGACGAGCATGGAGCAGCCGCGGGCCTGCTGAGTACCCGAACGCGGCAGCCGGCGGCACGGTGAGCGCGGGGCTGAAGCGGGGACCTCAGAGGGGCGGGCCGCGCCAGCGCTGCCTCTGGCCCAGCCGCCGGACCCCACCAGTACCCCTGGCCTCGCAGGCGCCAGGGCAGTGGAAGGCGGGCTGCGGCATCCCAGCCTTCCCGGTAGCGGATCCTGCAGCCCCCCTTCACTGACCCCTCCTCCCTTTCTTCCTCCAGCCTCTTCTCCTTTCCTCCCTTCCAGCTTCTGTTTTGTGAATGAATCTGGAGGCGGAGGATGGTACTAGACATGAGGCTGGTTGGAGTGCCCCCCACCTGCTTGGGGGCTAGTTCTTGTCCAGGCACCGAGGTCCCTGGCATCCGGGTTCCTGCGGATCAGCCGGGCCATGAGTCTCCGGTCCCCGCCCGCCACCGTCGCACGTGTCTGCAGGACTGGGCTCCCTTGCAGGCTCGGAGGGGCCGAAGGGCGCCCGGGCGCGAAGAGGGAGCCCCCGCCCCGCGCACAAGTTTCCATCCTGCCGCATGTGGGCCTCGCGGCGGGGCGCACCTGTCAGCTGGAGAGAGGCTGCAAACCAGGCAGCCCCGCAAAGTTCTGCGTGCGTCTTTGGGTAGGGCTTTCTCCCTCGGCCGTCCAGGGCTCGGCCTTGAGGAGCGCCCCCAACCTCATGCCCTTGAGGTGCGCGTTAGCCCACGTGGGCCCAGCTCTGGTGGATTCCTTCTGCGCAAAGCGGGGGTCTACGCTGCTGGGAGGCACCCAGCCAGAGCCAACACAAGCGCCTGCTTCTACGTGGGGTCTCCGGCTGCGAGACCTTCTTCGGTCCTCTGTGGGGAGCGGGTGCCGGGGCAGTGTCTCCAATTCCTTTGGAGAAGGAAGGGGCCGGCGACACTCGGGATGCTGTCTTTGTCTGCAGGCGCACTTTGCCTAGGTAGCTGGGGCCCCAGGGAGGTAAGCAGTGTGTGTGTGGGGGCTGGTCCGACTGTGATTGCTTGGGTTCCTTCCCTGCTGGGCCGTGGGAAACCGGCACGTGGGTGTGGCCGGCACCGTCTTCGCCAGGAGGTGAGGCTCAGGCGGGGAGGGGCGAGGGGCGAGAAGCGTGGCCAGTGCCTTCCTGGCTGCGTTAACGGGGGTAGGGGGGGGCACCTCTAGCACTGCACTGAGGCGGGGCGCCAGCGTCAGGCAGGTTGCTGGGCTAGCCTCGGCGCCCCTTGCCCATTGCCAGAACACAGGCGAGGAGCGGGGCCCGCAGCGCCTCCTCTGCACTTCGGCTTCAGAGGGGAACAGGATGCAGGGCCTGGGGTCCCCTGTTCCACAGGCTCGTGCAGGGGGAGGGCTGGGAATTCTGCAGAGGAAGCACACGGCGGACTCTCGGGGATGGCGGGGCAGAGCGCCCGGAGGCCGAGCTTCCCGGAGAGGCTCGGCTGCCAACAGCTCTTTCCGGACCGAAGCTGCTGGAAGGCTGCGGGTGCCTGAGTCTCAGACAGATTTAAGCCCTGTCAGCGTCTCTCCCCACTCCCTCCCGTATGAGACGGGCAGGGCAGGGGCACAAACCATGTTCCCATGGCAGGAAGGTGCGTTTGGGAGGGGGGTGCCTTCTCAGTGAGACATAGAGTTGGAGCAAGCTTGCAGTGAGACTTCATGGTATACAGACATGGGGCAGATTAAGTAGGTGGCAAGGAGAGGGAATGGGAGAAGGCCTGGGTCAGAAGGGAGGGCAGGGAGCTGGACTCAGCCTGGGGTCCCCCAGCCTCACCTTTCCTACCTGCTCGGGAGGAAACTACATTAGGTCTTCCTGCACTTCTGAAGTGCCCCTAGTGTCAGAGGACTGATTTACCAGGGACCTATAAAGCAAGAAACCATCAGAACACACACTGCACCAATGCAGGCACCAAGTCTCAGCAAGAACTTGGGTGAGATCAGCCACCAAGAGATGGTGGAGCTGGGTCTCAAGCCTGAGTCTTCTGGTGCCAAGTCCTGAGCTCTTCTCATTAAAGCACAGCTGTTCCCAACAGGGCAGATGCTAGGAGCCTGTCTTGGTTGAAAAAAGAAACCTGGCAGCATTTCCAGGAGTGGCTGGGAAGTGGGATGAGTACAGAGGTTCCCTGTAGGTGCTAGGACCAATAAATGGGGCCCCCCAGGCTGCTGCAGTGGTGGCTGCGGTTCCCTCTTGTGCCCTTGAGTTACTGGCCTTCCAGGAGGGCTGTCTACCTGCTTCTTCACTCCCTCATCTGCTTTCCCATTGCCTTCCCTTTTCCTGCCTGTCAAGTCCATGAGCAAGAGGTGAGAGAGCAAAGACTGCAGGGAAACGTTCCCTGAGTTTGCTGGGAAAAAAGGGAAGCCCTTCCTTCTTTTTCCCCTGGCACCTCTCTGCTTTCTTTCGTTTCTCTTTTCTTCCCCTACTTTCTTCATGGGCCTCTTTGGTGGCTGTGCTTTACTGGCAGATAGTCCTCTCCCAAGGGCAATCCCTAGTAAGGAAATGGTGGTAGAAGCTCTCGGTCCCACTGTCTGTCTCCCTGTCCTTCCCCCTCTTCCCTGGCCAGCTCCTCAGGGGTGCTCAGAGCTGTCTGGTCTCGTGGCTCACCCCTACTGAAGCTCACTGATTAAGAACTTTGGGTCAGGCACATCCCAGTTCTGCCATCTACCAGCTGGGTGTCACATACATCTCTTTGGGCTTCGGTGTCCAACAATATATGCTACTCTAAGTGTTTTCTCTACGCAACCCATTTAACCCTCAGAGATGCTGTGAAGATGCAGCCCACATCTGCATTACCATGAAATATGCATTATTATGAAATAACTAAGGGGAGAGGTTGCCTAAAGAAGCCCAAACACAGTCATACAGGTAGGAAGTGGCAGAACTGGGATTTGAACCCCAGTAGTCTGGCTTCTGAATCTACAGTCTTAGTCATGCTAAGTGATAACCACATTAATTAGTGAGTTCCCTTGATCTGGAGCCTCTACACTCATTGACTGAAGATGGTGCCTCCTGCCTGACCCAACATCTCTCGCCTTCTCTTGCCAGATGCCGGTGCAGCTAACGACAGCCCTGCGTGTGGTGGGCACCAGCCTGTTTGCCCTGGCAGTGCTGGGTGGCATCCTGGCAGCCTATGTGACAGGCTATCAGTTCATCCACACAGAAAAGCACTACCTGTCCTTTGGCCTGTATGGTGCCATCTTGGGCCTGCACCTGCTCATTCAGAGCCTGTTTGCCTTCCTGGAGCACCGACGCATGCGGCAGGCTGGCCGGCTTCTGAAGCTGCCCTCTCCGCCGCGGTCCTCGGTGGCACTCTGCATCGCTGCCTACCAGGAGGACCCTGACTACTTGCGCAAGTGCCTGCGCTCGGCTCAGCGCATCGCCTTCCCAGACCTCAAAGTGGTCATGGTGGTAGATGGCAATCGTCAGGAGGATGCCTACATGTTGGACATCTTCCACGAGGTGCTGGGTGGCACTGAGCAAGCCGGCTTCTTTGTGTGGCGCAGCAATTTCCATGAGGCGGGTGAGGGCGAGACAGAGGCCAGCCTGCAGGAAGGCATGGGCCGTGTGCAGGATGTGGTGCGGGCCAGTACCTTCTCATGCATCATGCAGAAATGGGGAGGCAAGCGCGAGGTCATGTACACGGCCTTCAAGGCCCTTGGCGATTCGGTGGACTACATCCAGGTAAGGGGCCTCCGGAGGGGTGTGTGCACGTGTGCATGTGCCTGACCAGCCAGCTATACTCTCCTCCAGGAAGGTTAGGTACAGGCTAAGCCCACCCTCTGCACGTAAGATGGCAACAAGGTGAAGTGGTTCTGAACGGCAGTACTGGGGTCAAGCTGTTCTCGGTTGGAATTCTGGTTTACTGTCCCTTAGCTCTGTGACTTTGGACAGGTCTCTGAACTGGTGTCCCAGTAATTAGCTAATGAGTATCCAGCCCTTAGTCCATACATACCAACCACTGTTGTAGGTACTTCCTACGTTTTAGCTCTGAGTCCTCGTAATACTCCTAGGGGTTAAGTGTCCCTTTATAGAAGGTAAAACTGAAGCTCAAAGAGGGTGAGTAACTTGCCTAAATGTCCCACTGCCAGAAAGATGCAGAGCCAGGATTTGAGCCCAGGCAGGCTGTCTCAAGTCTGCTATTACCCATTATGCTAAAATGCCTTGCCATTGGCAACATGGGGATAAGCCTTTTCATACATAAATATGGTCAAGATCAAAACAAATCTTGGTTAAAAGTGCTTGAAAATTTTTTTTTATAGTCATAGGTCAAAAAAGTCCCATTCTCACATGTATCAGGTTTGGATGTGAGGCGGGTGGTGGAGACACACATCTGAATCATTTGCAGCACCCTGGGCAGGTGAGCTTCCTTCAGTCAAAGGATCAGTGACACCAGCCCGGAAATTGTGTTGACAGGGTTGACATGGCTTCAAAGATTCAAATAAAACTTAGAACAGAGAGGGTTTAAAGCTCACACGTTTTATTACTGAGTAGAAACAGAAACTTGGGGCCCTGATTTCTGGGCCAGAATTCCTCCCAGCATCTGCCGGCCTCTGCACCTGGCAGGGTTTCGCCATCACTTGATAAATGCTTGAGTGAACAGTGGATGTTCTGGCAGTCCGTCTGCATCAGTCTTGCTGACACCATGTTGAATCCTCTAATATTTCAATCATATATGCTATACCCACCTAAACTTACCCTCCCCTGCCCCCGTGAAAATCGTATCACATGAGAATTGGTAGTGTTATCTTTTTTCTGTCTTCCTAGGCCCTAAGACCTCCCCAGTTTCAGGAAGGCATATGAGGCTAGAAGGCTGTTTGATTCTACATTCACCCGGGGTCTAGGGACCTTTGTGAAACTTTCCTGGGGGCCACAAAAGGCTGAGAAAAACCCTTTATGCTCTGACACATGCTCAAGCCATTGTGACTTTGTCATGCATTTCCTTGAAGCTCAGGATCCCCCTAAACCTGCTCTGCCACACATCTTCCTTTCCTGATTGCTTCCTCTGTTTTGGGGAGCTGGCATACCCAAGCCAGGTCTTTATGGCTCTGGGACCACTGCCTGGAGTCTGCCCTGGCCTAGAGCCACTGCCTGCTTTATGGACCTCAGCCTGTCTCCTAACAGCCCTGCTGTGGAGGGTGGGGGTATGGGGGTGGGGGGTGTCTTTCCCTCCTGGGAGAGAATCCTAACCCAGCTAGTGAGGAAAGCAGGCAGCACCTGAGCCCTTCCCTCCCTGCTCATCACTGCTCAGCTAGAAAGACCTTCCTGAGATAAACACAACAGCATGAGAACAAGCTAAGTCAGGGCAAGAAGGCACGGTGAGACCAGCAGTACTGGGAATCTTGGCCTGTGAGCTGAGGTCGCTCTGAAGGTCTGGCCTGAGGCTCCCTGGGACTGTTGTGGGCATGGGTCAGACTGCAAGGATGGTTCTGGTGGGGAGGAAGGAAACACACGGAGGGACCCAGCCTATGGTATCCCTGCTGACGGCTATGCCCGCTTTCCCCTGGGCCTTCTGCTGCTGCTTGTCTTGGGTCATCCTGTCTTCCAGTGTGGAAGGCAAAGCCGGGTACCTTTAGGGTGCTGGGGCAGCCTTCTTCCTATAGACTACTGGGCACTTACTTGCCAACCTTGCAAGGGTTTGAGATCTCTGCAAAACAGTCTTGGTTCATCTGTGAATACTATTTTCTGCTCTGCTAAGTGACCACAGAGTTCAGTCAGGATTCACTGAACCATTTTCTTTGCCCACTGGTTACCTGGACTGTTTGAACCATCTTACCAATTTTTTACAAAATGAACAAGAAGTTGGCCACCAGGATGTGTTCATAGCCCAGGTTCAACTAATGGGGCCCTTGTTGGAGGGGATCATGTGCCTTCTTAGGGCCGTGAGCAGGCAGAACAGGGCTCGATTCAGAGTCTGATTGCAGGCAGCTGCTGCCAGTTTCCATGCCCATTTACAGCAGAATCCCGGCAAGAGCAGGCACTGGCCATACTGACACCCTGGTTTGAAACACTTATCAGGGGAACGTGTGTTGAGGGAGCATCGAAGGCCTGGTAGCCACATTGTGGTCTCAGGTGGGGCCTGTGACTGTGGGTGGCTCTTTGCCTCAGGGGCTGTGGGTTATCCCAGAGGCTACAAGGGAAAGCCTCTTGTTAGCAGCCCTATGGGCCCGCTTGGGACACAGCCGTTTATCAGCCTTCTGAGGAGTATGTGCCTACCCGATAGGCTTCTCCATTGCTGTCAGGGACTCATTCCCCCTTCCTACCCAAGAACCCTGGAAATACTTTGAGACCACTTCTGTGGAGCCTGGCTCTGTAAGGGCTACAAACTTGTCCACTGCTAAGAATTTCTCCCTCCTAGGCCTGGCACAGTCTCCGGGGTTTCCCGTTAGCCTAGCAGCTGTCAAGCCTGGTGTCTGAACTCTTTTTTCCTTTCCTACCTTATGCCTAGGAGCTCTGGTAGCATAGTGGCTAAGGCACTTGACTGCTAACCAGAAGGCTGGCGGTTCAAACCCACCAGCCACTCCTCGGAAGGAAGGTTGGGCAATCTACTTCCGTAGTGATGCTGCCTCGGAAACCCAAGGAGGGGTCGCTATGAGTCGGGGCCGACTCAATGGCAAACCACCACCACCACCACATGCCTGTCATCCCTTCTGTGTGGTATAGCTCTACCTGCTGCTAGAAGCTGAAGTGAGGTGAAAGGGGTTATGTCCCTCAGGCAGTAACCAGCCTCTGTGTGTGCGCGCACGCGTGCGTGTGCGAGCGCACATACATGCGTGAGGCCAAAATGGGCTGACAGTGCACTTTTTCTTCAGGTGTGTGACTCCGACACTGTGCTGGATCCCGCGTGTACCATTGAGATGCTCCGCGTCCTGGAGGAGGATCCCCAAGTAGGGGGAGTCGGGGGAGATGTCCAAGTAAGAAGTAACCAGGGGTTCCTGGGGGTGGGGGATCCGGTCACTAATTCTTAATCCAATTGGATATGTCAAAAAATGGGCATCTTGACTTCCTAGTATGGGGGGGGGGAGGGTTCCCCTCTTTAATATAGTTTTCACTGGGATCAAAGGGCTTACTTGCCTACCCAACCTCTCCCCTCTCCTGTTCTTTTTCAACCTGAGGAAAACACAAACAGGTATGGAGAGGGCCTATACTGCTGGCAAGGGATAGTATTTTGTGGCCTTGGATCCCAGAGGATGGTTTCTTTTTGGCTGGTGGTGCAAGTAAGCCAGTGGTGTTCCTGTGGAAAGGCATGAAAAGTGGCAGGACAGCAATTAGCTCCAAAGTTAGACCCTGAGAAGCCGTGCTCTTAGAGAACTTGGGCTGAAAGGCTCTGGGCTATGCTAAGAATTAGAGGCCACATCTCCAGAGCTACTGCTGGCAACATACCATGTTTTCCCTAGTAGCTTCCTATCTGCAGAAGTTCAGGATGGGGAAGGGGGGTTGGGGTGTTGTGCTGCATCTTTCTCAAGCACTGTTCACTGCCACCAACACAGGCCGCCTCTTGAGACTGAAGGTGGTTTTGGCTACTAACACAAATGAACTGGGAAAATCAGTGTGGATGACAGTGGGAGGTAGAGCTGGTGCTGGGGAGAGTGCTTGGTTCCTCTGAGCCTCAGGCTTCCCAAGGCTGGCTGAGCTACAGCTGATGGCCAGGAATTTGCACAGTGGGCCACAGAACCCAGGCGTAGGGAGACCTTCTATCTCCATCTCCTCTGGCTGCAGAATGGGGCTCCTGTCCTCAGGATGAAGCCCAGCATCTCTGGTTCCCTTGCAGATCCTCAACAAGTATGATTCATGGATCTCCTTCCTGAGCAGTGTGCGGTACTGGATGGCCTTCAATGTGGAGCGGGCCTGCCAGTCTTACTTTGGCTGTGTGCAGTGTATCAGTGGGCCCCTGGGTATGTACCGCAACAGCCTCCTCCAACAATTCCTGGAGGATTGGTATCATCAGAAGTTCCTAGGCAGCAAGTGCAGCTTTGGGGATGATCGCCACCTCACCAATCGCGTCCTGAGCCTTGGCTACCGGACTAAGTACACAGCACGCTCCAAGTGCCTCACAGAGACCCCCACCAAGTACCTCCGGTGGCTCAATCAGCAGACCCGCTGGAGCAAGTCTTACTTCCGGGAGTGGCTCTACAACTCTCTCTGGTTCCATAAGCACCATCTCTGGATGACCTATGAATCAGTGGTCACAGGTTTCTTTCCCTTCTTCCTCATTGCCACAGTCATACAGCTCTTCTACCGTGGTCGCATCTGGAACATTCTCCTTTTCCTGCTCACAGTGCAGCTGGTGGGCATTATCAAGGCCACCTATGCTTGCTTCCTTCGGGGCAATGCAGAAATGATATTCATGTCTCTCTATTCTCTTCTCTATATGTCCAGCCTCCTGCCAGCCAAGATCTTTGCCATTGCTACCATCAACAAGTCTGGCTGGGGCACTTCTGGCCGAAAAACCATTGTAGTGAACTTCATTGGTCTTATCCCTGTGTCCATCTGGGTGGCAGTCCTTCTGGGGGGACTGGCCTACACAGCTTATTGTCAGGACCTGTTCAGTGAGACAGAATTAGCCTTCCTTGTCTCTGGGGCTATTCTGTATGGCTGCTACTGGGTGGCCCTCCTCATGCTGTATCTGGCCATCATCGCTCGGCGATGTGGGAAAAAGCCAGAGCAGTATAGCTTGGCTTTTGCTGAGGTGTGACGTAGCCTCCAATCAGGGCGGGAAAAAGTGCAATGGATGAGGGAGGGAAGGGGGATGGAAGAGAAGATAGGGTGGGAGGGAGAAGGGAGTGCTGTGTTTTAATTTCTTAATGGCCTATTGGACAAATCTGAAGTGCAAAGAATGACAACTGCAGTATGGCCTGGGACAACTCTGCTTAGAGGCAGCAACCATAGACTCCTCAGGCTAAGGGCAGAGAGGGGCTTGTGTATTTCCAGGTTGCCTGTTGGCCCCTGGGAGAGAGGTCTACTTCTTCCCCCTGGAATCCAGGAGGAACTCAGAATTGTGCTAAACCAAACAGTAAGTTCCATTCAGTGGCAACTTCTGATGGGTGATTGAGCAATGACAGCTTGTGGGAAGGGTTTTCCTTCCCATCTCAAGACTACCAGAGGTAGTGGGAGATCTGGGCCAGCTAGTAATGCCCACCCCCTTACCCCCAATCTAGTCATCAATGCAATAAGATTGTGCCTGAGAAAGAAGGCCCAGAGGCCTAGTCTTTGGGCATCAGAAAACAGGGTCCAGGAATGGTGCTTTATCGTGTGATATACCCCACATAGCATCTCAGTATCCTAGGGATGAACATCCAACTAGCAGGGAGTTAGCATTTAATGGGTTTTTAAATGTGTACATATATGTATGTTGAAAAAAGAGTTTGCCAGGAGGAGCAAAGAGATTGTGGTGATGCTAAAGGCCAAGGGCTGTATGGAAGCCTTGGGCTGAATGTGTTCCAGGTGGGAACTGCCTAAAATTTTAGCTGGTCTGTGATCTCTGCTGGGGAGGTGTAAAATGTTTTGGCCATCTACCAAGAATGTTAAACCTCAACATGCTCAGAGAGGAAGTGAGGTCTCAGGTGTGTCCACACTCCTGAATTCCTCTCTCAAATATAGCTCCGAGTTAGGTCTAACACAGCCTCCTCACTTCATTTCCTTCAAGGCCTTTTCTTTGGCTAATTAGTTACCTCCTCCATCCTCATAATGGCTGTTTTTCAAGGTTACAACTAGGCAGATCCTGGATGTTCCGGGTCCCTCTGTAACAGGCAAGCTAATGTTGACACATAGGGGCAGAACTGGGGACCTCTGCCCAAACTGGCTACAAGCTTGGAACTTGCTTGGACAGATTCTCTGGCAGTTGTTAGCCTGTGTGGCTTTCAGTCTACAGTTCTTGACAATCATCTCCAGTGAAGCTTTTCAGTATTCCTTAAATCAACCCTCAAACTTAAGCTGGTCATCTTTCAGGCTGCCCATTCTCAGTGGCTTCTGCAGGGAATTCTTAGAGCCAAGTGCTGGAGTCATTATTGCATGTGCTTGCTTCTTTCCAGAAACCAAACTAAGAGATGGAATTGTTTTCTGAATTTTAAGGTTCTTGCTTTCCATCTCAGTCATGCCTCTTGTGTCTACTCGATTCCAACTAGTCTTTACCTCTGCATTTTTGAGTGTTGAGGGGTAAGGGCGAAGAGACATTTCCTAGTGATTGGCAATCCAGACTATTCTCAGCTCTTGGTTTTGAAACCTGGGATCTTGACTTTGACTTGGGTGTTGCTTGCTCTTCAACCTGCCGTTCTCAGAGGGGCCAGTTTACCCCTCAGAACTATCACTAATGCAGAGGGTAGGTGAGGGGGCAAGGCTGTACTGTGCCTAGGTGCTTCCTACAAAAGAATGAAGTGTGCTCTGAGCCACAGAAGGGCAAACTCTGGTGCTTTCCTTCATCTCCCATGAACTCAAGGGATTTGCAAATGCAGCTAACAGTGGTTGCATCACACAGACCTCGAGTTTCTGACAAGACTGGTTGGTTGGTGTCAGGCCCAAACCATGGAGGCTGAGAAGCAGCAGCAGGCATTTGCTAAAGGCAGTTGTTCCAGGCTTTTCCGTGTTTTTGCTGGCCAAGAAGTCAACTATTTTGAGCACTACAATGGAGGAAATCCGGTCAGCCAACTGCAGAGCTCAGACTTCACTAAGGGCTTGTTTTTCTTCAGCTTTTACTTGAAGGTTACTCTAGATGGGCTCCAGATGGAGAACTGGCCGTCCTACCATCAGCTCTGCCATGCACTGTAGTTGTCAACTTTCCTCAGATCAAAAGTAGGCAAGTACAGGCGGTAGGCTTACAACATTTGACCTCGACTGGTTTTTCTAAGTTATTTTGTACATTTTTCAGCAGCAAAAAAACCAAACTGGGTCTTTAGCTTTATCCCTGTTTCTTGCACGGGAAGAGCCTTTATACAATTGGACACGTTTTGGTTTTTCCTCATTGAGAGTTTTAACCCTCTTTTGTATTATTTCTACAGTAATTTGTAAACATATTTATTTTTACCTGCTTTTTTTACTTTTCAGGTCAAATTTTTTATACTACACTTATTTGTCAAAATAAAGATTCTCATGCAATGCTGGCATTTCTGAGCTACTTCCTCCCTCTTTGTACTTAATGAAAGCTAGCTCTTTATTGTAGTTTCAAGAGAGCCACTTCAGGTAGAAATGCAGTTCTGTCAAGGTAATTCCAGTGGAACTCAAAAGTACAGTTGCCACAGCTGCCTCTGACTTGGGGAAGACAGTGAGCCCACCGTGGTTAAAACGGTACACCAAAGGTGGCCTGGCTTTTATTGTAGAAGTGGGCAGGGTCTTTGGTAAATAACTGGCAGATGAGGAAGCCAGACTAAGGCTAAAACCCAAAACTTCTTCCTGAAGCAGAAAGTAGTTGACCTGGCAAAAAATACAGGATTGTGAGAAAACGTCTCCCTATAAAACAAGTAACAGAACAGAGTGACATCAGCAGCCCTCTCATCCCATTTATTAAAGAAACAGTAAGAAAAGATACAATGCAGGAAAAACACCAACCTTCCTTTCACATCAGGTTGAACAAAAAAGCACAGTGATTTCTCCCCTTTACCCTACCCCCACCCCAGTTCCAATATTCCCATCCACGTCAGTTTAAATTTTGAGGTTCTTTGATTGGGAGGACCAGTGGAGAGGGAGCTGGATGAGCTGGGGCCTTAATTCTGGCCTCTTCTAAGTCCAGAGGAGGAAGGAGCCTCAGGCCCAGTCAGTCAGAAATTGTTATTTGGTGGGTCTCCGAAGTGGTTGCCCACCTCCCTGTGGCGTTCAAGTCCCAGGGAAAGGCATGGCAGTAGAGGATGACCAGGTCCAAGCTGCCCAGGTCACAGCTACCGAAGCATGGTCCATTCACCAATGCAACATTTCTAAAGAGCAATGAACTGATTCTCCAGTGGTGAGCAGGGAAATACATGAATTGAAACCTGCAGGCCAATGTATCCCTGAGGAAGAGTCCACAAGAACAATTCAAGAAACTAGTAAGAAACAAAGGGCAGAAAGCTGTGGGACAAAAGCACAGCAGGCTTCTGCAAGGCTGGAAACCCAATCTCTCAAAGCCAGGATCACTCCCACTTTGCTAAAGTCCATGTCCCACAAATAACATTTCACCTTCAGTCAAGAAAGCAGAGTTTGAAAAATATGGCTCATTTGAACTTGAGCCCCAGCTATGTACTTCAGATCATAGCTCCATATCTACCCTTTCACCTAGAGGACAGCCCCTGCCCAGAACCACTGTGGCTGGACACCAAAATGGTCCTGGAAGAAAAATGCCATTTAAGGGGGCAACATCCCATTTGGGTACATCGTAGCCACTGGACCGCCTGGTCTGGGGAAAGCAGCTGGGTTTGTGCCAGGGAGGCTCCCCACTCTAGGAAATGGGACCAAAGTCTTGCCTGCAGGGCCATTCATCCTTGGAAAGGAAGCTGGGTTTAGACCCAGGGTCCCAGTTGGCCTTGCAAAAGGAGCTGGGCTGATACCTATAGGGCCTGCTGGAGAAGAGCCCAGGGGCCCAGCAGCTGACCTGGGGAAAGCAACCTGACCAGGGCCTAATGGGCCAGTAGGCCTTGGAAAGGCAGCTGGACTTGGACCCTGCAGGCCAGTGGCCCTTGGGAAGTTAGCTGGGTTGGGGCCTAATGGCCCAGAGGCTCTTGGAAAAATTGCTGGACTTGTGCCCTGGAGGCCAGCAGACCTCTGAAAGGTAGCAGGGTTTGAAGTCAATGAGCCAGAAGACTGAGAGAAGGCAGTTGGATTCAATGCCCCTGAACCTGTCCCCCTTGGGAAGGGACTAGCATTTATCCCCATCGGGCCAGGTGGCCTTGAGAAATGAGCTGAATTAAGGCCCATGGGGCCAGGAGCCCGTGACATGGGAGATGGATTTGGCCCTGGAAAGCCAATTCCCCGAGAGCCAGGCCCTGAGCCTGGGCCTATGGGGCCAGGTACTCTTGCCATGGAGGATGGGCTTGTACCCATGTTTCCAGAAGCCTGTGAGAAAGAAGCTGAATTTGCTCCTAAAAGACCTGCTGCTCTTAGAATGGGAGCAAGATCTATGCCTTGAGGTCCAGCCATTCTTAAGTTAAGACCAGATCCTGTGCCCAAGAGGGCACCACCTGCCCTGGTGTCCAGATTAGAGCCTGGACCTAGGCTACCCACCCTTGGGTTGGGCCCAAGGCCTGGGCCCAGGCTACTAGCTCTTGGGTTGGGCCCAAGGCCTGGGCCTTGAAACATTCCTGACCTAGGGGCAGGATTTGTACCTAAGAAGCCTGATCTTAAATTGGGACTTGGTCCTGGGCCAAGGCCAACTGGCCTAGGATTGGGAGGACCATTCCCAGAGGTCAAAAGGACACCTCTCAAGTTGGGTCCAGTTCCAGGGCCCATGGGGCCACCACTTCTGGGGTCAGGACCTGCTCCCAGGAGACCACCTGTCCTTGGGTTGGACATAGGCCCTGTGCCTGGGAGACCTCCTAACCTTGGGTTAGACAGAGGCCCTGGGCCTGGAAGAGCCCCAGCTCTAGAGTTTAGAGCTGGGCCTGGGCCCGGGCCCGGATTTGGGCCCAAGAGGCCACCTGGCCTTGGGAAAGAAACTGTGCCTGTGCCAGTGGGAGTCATCCCTCGTGGAAAAGCAGCCATACTTGGGTCACGAGCACCAGCAGGGAAGGGCGCTGGATTTGAAGCCAAGGAGCCTGATGGAGCTGGAAAAGGAGACGGGTTCCTTGGAAATGGGGCCAGATTTCCACCAAGAGAACCGGCTGCCATAAGGAAGGGATCCGAGTTCACGGACAGTGGGTGACCTGTGTTCAGAACAGGAACCCCCTGTGGTCCTAGGGAACTGTCGAGCCGTCCTCGGGGTGGCAGCGGAGCACGAGTCCAAGGAGTTGGCCGCTCTCTAAGGAAAATCCGGGGCTCTTTCATACTTTCTTGGGGACGCTGGTGATAATGGGCTTGGGGCGGGTTTTGAAAAGGATCTTGTTTTTGATGAGTGCTGTCACCAAGTACCGGGTGCCAGTCTCACAGCCAAACTCATCACAGTCCTGCTCCCCAGGTGTGTGTTTGACAAGGATGGCAAAAGGTTTCTCCAGGTGGATGATTTTCCCATACAGGATATGGTGCCCCACGATCAGCACAGGAATTCCCTTTGGCAGAGTAAGAACAAGATGCTTGAGGTTCAGAGCAAGATCCTAACACCCAGGTGCCTCCTGACGCTGCTGTCTTGCCAGGCAATGCTGGCACCTCCCTTCCCTGGTCTGTCTCTACCATTGCTGGGCAGCCACTCTTGACAACCCACCCTCGTGCCCTTTACACACTTTCTAGTCCCACAGAAGGGAATTTCCACTTTTAGAAATGTAATCCTTCCACATTCCCCAAAGCTCAATTTCTCTGCTACTGCAGAGGTGGGGGAGGAGAACAAGCAGATAGCTCAGCAGATTAGCTAGACCTTGAACAACAAACCTGAGGCAGTCCTCACTCTGGGTCCTGGGAGCACCACCTCGGTGTAGCTTGCCTTCCTGAGACCTTAGGCAGGGAAAGAAAAGCCCCCTCACCTCAGTGGTGTAATGTAGGTCTCCCAGGAGGTTTCCAGCTAATCCGGTGCTGCAGCGAGCCTCGATCTCCCCCTGCAGCTCCATCAGCACCCATTCTGCCAGGCCTCCAGCCCCAGTACTGCAAGCAAAGGGCTGGCGGTTACAATATTTTTGAGGGGTGGAGGATGAGTAGTGTCCTACACCACCATTCAAGGCCCAAAGGAACTCTCTCGAGCACAAGTTCTTCGGAAAGTGGGCAGTTCTAGGCACTGAACTAGAGACTAAAACGCAAGGATTTGTGAGGACCCTGCTTCTTCCAGGAAAACTGCAAGCCTGTATAGTCCTGATTGTTGAAACCAAATGAAGAAGTCTCCAAATGTGCTTACCTGGAAATAACAATTTGTACCATGAGCTTCCTGTCTTTAAAAAGCAACTGAAAACAAACTGTGGAGAGAAAGAGAGAGAAAACATTTAGAATAGTAACAAATAAAAGCAAATACTTATCACTATGGGCCAGGCACTTTTCTAAGTATATTAGACATGTGTTCTCATTTTTTTCTCCTAACCACCCTGTAAGGTCTAAATTTTATCAATGATATCAAAAACACAAGGTTGCTTCAGGTCACCAATGGTGATCCATATCACACAACTAAAGTGTTTAAGGTCATGTAGCTAGGAAGTCAAAGAGCTAGGATTTGAACCAAAGGCACACATACACTACAGAGCCCACACTCTTGACCATTACACTAACTTGCTCTCTCCAGTTAAGGGCGTTGTACTTTCTACTCTGTACAGCTCTTAAAAATGAAAAGACTTCTTTTAGATTTTACGTTTTTCTTGCTTTCGCTATTTTATGTTTCAAGGGTCAAAGAACTTCCTTTAATTAAAAATAAAGGCAAGATAACTGAAAAAGTTCTTCAGACCGAGTGGTAGCCTGACTGCTGATGTGACTCTCATGAAGTGTTTTGACCATCCTCTACTTAAATGCAAATATAACCCAACACGTATCAACTTTTATTTTATACAATAGCACCACCTGGTGGCAAGTTTGGTATACTCGACAAGAACGGGTTACGGTAGGACATTTTCCCCTCAAACCACTGGTTTCCCTTGCACTTGTGTCTGTCATGGGAGGGGAGATTCATGGGGGCTGAACAGTTTCTGGCTGAGTCCTTCCAATGTATGTATGGCATCTAGAGGAAAGGTTATTAGTCCAGTATTTACTAACTGTAATATGGAAAGTTAAAGGGTATTTTCATTGTGCTCAAATTTAGCAAACACCTGATTGAACAGTTGATAGTGTCTTTACTTATAAGTTAACATTCCTGTTGGGAAAATGAACTCCAGGCAAAGTATTTTCTAAGCAGCCTTATAGGCAGCAGAACCTCTACTTCTAGAGCACCAAACACACTCTGGAAACATCAAGTTGGCCAACTCACTGGACTGCTAACCAGAAGGCTGATGGTTCAAACCCACCTGCTAACCAGAAGGCTGATGGTTCAAACCCACCAGCCACTCCTCGGAAAGAAGATCAGGCAATAGAGATACCACCTCAGAAACCCAAGGAGGGGACGCTATGTGTCGGAAACAATTCGACAGCAGTGAGTTTGGTTTTTGGTTTTGGACTGTTCACTGAAATGTTACTACGGATCACACACTGTGCGCATACAATGATGACTGAAATGACAAGATCATTCAATTCTCATGTCAACTCTATGAAACAGGTACTCATCCCTGTTTTGCAGCTAAGGTTACTGCAGTATACAGAGATTAAGTCATTTGCCCGAGGTCACATAGTTAATATATGGTAGAGCCAGGGTAAGACCCTAGGCCATCTGACTTTATCTACACTTATAATCACCAACCAATTCTGCTTCCCCAAAGGAGAAACCAAGTGCCAAGGAGAGTGAAAAGGAATGAAGGCATCAGCCAGGCACTCAGTACACGCATGAGCCGCTCAGGACAAAGGAGAGTCAAAGGGCATCCTGAAATAAACCAGACTTTTCTGCTGCAGCACACGCTGAGACAGGGTAAGACGCTAGCTCTAGAGTGTGAAGATCTTCTCACGGATAAGGAGACCCCACGACTAGCGACCAAAAGCACTTAAAAAATCCTTCTCTTCAAAGGTTCCTTGACGGAAGCAGGGTAACAATTTAAAATACAGGTCCATGCCTGTAGCTATGGAACTTTTTACTGTGTGATCACACACAAGTCACTTAATGACCATGGGGCCATACCACCCTTATCAGATTCTTCTATTATGAAGGTCAAATATGACATATATAAAAATGCTTAAAGACCCTAAATTCCATGCAGACGAACAGCCATTTAGAGGGTGAAATAAACAAACCAGCATTTTCACAGCAAGGATAATAAGCAAATTCATGAAAAAAGGCTCAGTAACTAGACATTCAAAATTTGTTAAGTTTCTCAAGGTCAATAAACGCATGTAGATTGAGAAGGGGTTCTTGTAAACAAGTTTTTGCTGACTGATAAGGAGGCAGTGTTTTCCTGATGGTTACAGTAAAATTCAAGTGGCGTTAGAGAGCCAACACAGCTGTACAAATGCCTTCTCAATCTGTCCTAGGGAGATCAAGAGATTTTTAAGTTAATGGGTTGGAAGGCAACACTTGACTCTGATATGAGAGCACTGGCAGGAAAGGAAACAGAACCTACTTCCTCACCACATGCTTCAGATAGACAGAATGACTGGTTAGAGAAAAGGAATGCAGAAATCTCTCAGTGCATCCCTCACTTCCCAGACAGTTTCCTGCGAGAACAGGAGTGAGAACTGGGGCCAAAATGGTCCAAGGAAAGGTGGTATCAGGCGCTGGGACAGAAGAGCTACACCTGCGTATACCAATTCCTGGCCTCCAGTGAGCACACTTCATCCATTTACGTATGAAGCGCTCCCCGAGTCCATCTGCTGATATGGCAGACATCTAGCAATGCCCCTGAAAATAGATTCTGTGGCCCAAGCAGTCTCACCGTTCTGCTGTCACATGCAGTCAGGCTCAACTTCTTTTTGTGCTAACCTACTGGAATGCTACAGAATGTGTATACAAATGAAGGGGCTCAGCTTTCAGGAGTCCAGCTCATAGGAACCCATGGGCTGAGATGATTACGTTTATGTACATGAGGGTATATTTACCAAGTTAGTAAGAAATATAGAGAGGGCAGGCATCCCCTTAGTGATTAAAAAATTCTACTTTAGCACTCTGCAATGGCTGATACCTAAATTCTATTCTTTCTTTTCTTGCTCCTTGCAATCACCACTCTAGGCAAATGTAAACCTGCATACTTCACTGAGAGCACACTTGGTGGAAATTGCAGGGAACATGTATTTTTCAGGGTAGAGGTGATGAAAAAGGATCTGAGAACATGCAGCTCAATCTGTCTCCATCCACTTGATAGAAGGTAGAAAGAGTAGAGGGGAAAAAAAAACAAAAACCAAAAAGAGGTAGGGAAGGAGTAGAGTACAAGTCATACGAGAAATACCAAATAACGTAATGAAAACTTTCTGTGTAAGAAAAACAATTTCTAAGTCTTCAGTCCTCAATCATGTATTTTAAGCAACAATTGAAGACAACAAGAGCACTTCCTAGGTGTCCGATGTTAAGATTTGGCTTGTGAAGAAATGGCAGTTTTATCAAGGGTAACATCTGAAGGCACCACATGATGAACCATCAAATCATGAAACTAAAAGGGAGCCAAAGGAATGCTGCGCCATCACTTCACTCTCCTAAGAGCCTTGAGTTCAAGCCCAGATTTGACCAAGACCAACTACTTGTCTTTAATTGAGAACACTAACTCCATGCTGACAATGCAACCCACAGACCTGGGAGTAATGTCTGTCGTGTAGCTTTTCAAAGAGATTGTTTAAATTCATTATATTTCAGAGTAGTGTCAGTCTCACAGGTCACAACCAGAGTGTGGTCTTGGAGAGACGTGAAGGTGTGAAGAAAACCAAATCTCTGTCCCCACACTCCAGTCTCACAAATGGGGAAATATTTTCCACTCCATTTTTTGGGCCTTCGCATAGCTAAATAAAATAAACAATACGTAAGTTCTATATTCCTAAGTTAGTCAAATGACTTTACTTTTGAAAAGGAAACTTTATTCTCAAGCACTGTGTAAATTTTAATTCCTGTTCCTCCAGTTTTTTTCCCTTTAAAAAAGACCTTTTGTACAACTTCAAATTTTCTAGAAATGTGACTTATTTAAGTTTGCCCTAGGTCACCCCCAGTCTTAAGACATGAAGTTAGTTGCTAGGACCAAGGTAAAGTCAAGACACTATTGCTTCTCAGGAAACTGGTCCCAATGACCTGTGAGCCAATCAGGAGGCAAAAGAACGGCATTCTCGGGCTTGGGACCAGGGGACATCAAGCTCAATTGGCATAACATACTATACAAACATTGTTCCACCTCCTACTTTGGCGAGTAGCGACTGAGACCTTAAAAGCTAGCAAGCTGCCATCTAGATGCAACAATGGGTCTCTCCTCCTCAAGAAGAAGAAAATCAAAATTAATGGAAACAATCAGTCCTAGCGACTGGTACACCATCCGATCTGCAACCTATACAACTATGAGACCAGAAGAACTAGATGATGCCCAGCTACCACTGCCATCCACTTGGAAGGGATGTAGGAGATCCTGCATAGAGAGGGAGAACAATGTAGAACAAAACTCAAAATCATTTGGAGGCAAAAAAAAAAAAAAAGAAGGTGGGGACCAGGTTTGCTGGTCCAATAGAGCCTGGTGGAACCACTGAGACTATGGCCCCTAGCTGCCCTGCAGGTCTGGAATTGAAGCCACACCTGTCGTTTCCAGCTATACAAAGTACAGGCATGTGAATTAAACATTTACCTCAAGTAGACACATGCCCTGGAGAGAACAATCACGGGAGAAGTAAGGGCTGCTTATGCACAGGGAGACAGCTCAGGGGACAAAAGAGTATGGAGGGATGGACAATGGGAAGAGGTAACTACGGGGAGGAAGTGGGAGGGGAGCTGTTGCATTGTAAATTTTGGGCAATGGCATGAGACAAAGTATATTATGTGAACTGCTGTATGAAAAGTGAATTTACGCTGTAAATCTTCACCCAAATCAAAATAAAATTAAAAAAAAAAAAAAGAACTGCATTCTCATAAACAGTCCAGGCCCACAGAGGGAGCCCTAACCCAAACTCAAGGGTTTGGCAGGAATCTGGCCAATAAGGGAGGCATCTAATTTAGCGGGCAATGGGCTCTATCTCTTTTGTAGTTAGTAAATAACTACTAAAATTATAAAGAACCTGAAAAAAAAGAGCTGCCCAATTCTTAAGGAGAAAGAGTCCAGAACACTATCTTTGTATGTATTATATATAAATAAACTTCAGTTCTCATGCAGCTAAACATCAAACAGCCCTAT